AGTCCAGCTTATTTGGTTTTCAATCCGGAGACAAGAAAAGTAACAAAAAATAGACTTGTGAAGTTTGTTATAAAAAATTCTATTAATTGTGACACTCAGACAGATGATGACATTTATGAACATTATGAAACCAAAAAGAAAGTGAATATTCCACAACCAGAACTGTATAAGACAAAAGCAATCCCACCTGAAGTGAAAGTGGAGGTGAGTGAGACAAAACTGGAATGTGACAGTGAGAGTAGTACTCGTTATCCGAAGAGAGAGAGGAGAGCCCCTCGCTATTATTCAGATTGCGACTACAAAGTGAAATGTGACGAAGATCTGGAAGTGACAAATATTGATTATTGTTATCGTGTGACTTGCGATGTTCCAGACTTTAAAAGAAGCTTTGAGCTCTTCTGAGTCAGAACAGTGGGCCAAAGCCATGAGAGAGGAAATGGACTCTTTAATAGAGAATGATACGTTTACATTGACAACCTTACCAGAGGGTAAACATGCAGTGGGGGGTAGATGGGTTTAGCTGTTAAAGAAAATCCAGTGGAAACTATTTACAAAGCCAGATATGTAGCAAAAGGTTATAGTCAACTGGCTGGTTTAGACTATAACGAAACCTTTTCACCTACTGCTGATATGACCTCTGTTCATGTCCTGATGCAGCTTGCAGTACAGTACAGTTTGGAACTACATCAGATGGATGTTAAAACAGCATATCTCCATGCCCCTATAGACTGTGAGATTTACATGGAGCAGCCTGAAGGGTTCGAGGTAAAATCTGAAAGAGGAGAAAAACTGGTGTGTAAACTGAATAAGTCACTATACGGTTTGAAGCAGTCAGGACGAAACTGGAATAAGATGCTACATGACTTCCTTATTGAAAGTGGTTTTGTTCAGAATACTGCAGACTATTGTGTTTATTTTAAGACAGTTGGAAATGAAAGAATCATGCTGATTATTTGGGTTGATGATCTCCTTCTTGCAACGAGTGATGTTGAAATGCTCAGTGAAGTGAAGGAAATGTTGGGGACCAAATTCAAAATTAAAGATCTTGGAAGATTAAAACATTTTCTTGGCATTGATTTTGCCCAGACAAAAGGGGAAGTCAAAATGAATCAAAAGAAATATATCACAAAAATTCTTGAGAGATTTGACATGACTCACTGCAAACCACGGACAACACCGTGTGAAATGAAAATGACATTTGACAATGAGGGTGAACCTGCTGATCCTAAGAAATACCGCGAAATAATTGGAAGTTTGATTTATCTAACCAGACCAGATCTAAGTTTTGTTGTTAGTAAATTATCTCAGTACTTGTCTAAACCTAAAAAAACAACACTGGGTGGCAGCTAAACATGTTTTGAGGTATTTGAAATGCACTGTGGATCAAGAGTTGTGTTTTAGAAAGCAAGATGTGGATTTGAAGCTTGTGACCTATAGTGATGCTGACTGGGCAGCTGACCAGAATGACAGGCGCAGGGTTACTGGTTACTGCTTTAGTTTGTCTGAGACTGGGCCTGTTGTTTCATGGAAATCTAAGAAACAACCGACAGTTGCTTTATCAACATGTGAAGCCGAATACATGGCTCTATCTGCTACAACTAAGGAGAGCATGTATTTTGTAAATCTATTGAAAGGAATGGACACTTTGAATTTTACACCTGTGAATGTTTTTGAGGACAACCAGGGTGCTATTGCCCTATCTAAAAACCCTGTGACTCGTCAGAGATGTAAGCACATTGACATAAGGTACCATTTTGTCCGCTCTGTTGTATCTGATGGAAAGATTGTTCTTCATTATTGTCCCATGGATGATATGGTGGCTGATGTTTTTACTATACCTGTAGCAAAAGTCAGGATGGACAAATTTAGATGTTTTCTTTTTGGCAGGTGAACAATGGACTGTACTTTTGTGAAATGAAGTTGAATGTACACTGTATGTAATATTTGTGTCAATTAAGGAACAAGTGGGGGTGTTGACATCTGTGTCCCTAATTGATCCTGTTATCCACTTATGGATGTGGGCGTGGTTCCCACACCGGTGTGGGAAGCACCGGTATATATATATATATATATATATATATATATATATATATATATATATATATATATATATATATATATATATATATATATATATATATATGTTGGCGCAGCCATACATATATATAAATATATATATATGTTTATATATATATACCGGCTGATCAGCTCTTGTGGCGATGGCTGCGCCAACATATATATATATATATATATATATATATATATATATATATATATATATATATATATATATATATATATATATATATATATATATATATATATATATATATATATATATATATATATATATATATATAGAATAAAGACATCATTGTTTAACTTGCAGTGGTTCATACAGAGGACGATTTATCACTCAGGCCAGATCCACCCCCTTTGGTAATAGTGTGAATAAACGGAGATAAAAAGGTTCTTTATTGATAATTAACAGCTCTGCTGATAACCTAGCCTGGGTCACTAGATTGGTGTGGATACCTGGATTTTAACAGCCAGTCCAGAAACCCTCCAGAGGTGAAACCACAAACCCTGGTAAGTAAGCAAATTAAAGCTACAATTATTCAACTAAGAACACTAAATTGATTTCACCTCCGATTTTGAATAGGTTAAATAATTAACTATAACTCCAGTTCTAGTTAATCATTTATTCATTATCTGCAGGATATTATTTTGCACAGCAATATGTAATTTTTTGAGATACACTATGTGTAAAACTAAAATTAATATCACTGATATATTTTGTATCACTGACTGCCAAACTAGCAAAATTTGCTTCAATAACATGCAGCTTACAAAGTATATTACTAAAATGAAGAGTTCGGATGTATTTTATAGATCTGTTTTAACTCAGTCTGTATGCTTCCATGGATTTCAGACCATGAACAGTTTTTACTGTACTTCACGTCTGAAAAACACAGATATGTACCCACCCACAATGTCTCGATGCGTTGATTCCCTGTGGATGATCCATAACTGTGGCTTGATGACCCAGCATTATAATCCGTATGCGCATGGTGGAGGGTACAGTGCATTGTTGCCACAGTTCTCTGTGGTCTGCTCGTTTTCTCAATGGTATCACTCCAATACTCTTGACACAGTTTATATTATGCTGGACAATGACAGATGTTTTTTTTGTTTGCTGCCTCACAAGCAAGCCACATTATGCTTTTCGAAAAACCATCGATGCATCCTGAGATGGCCAAGCCGAATGGCTTCAGTTTGTCAAAGACATATACCTACATGTGCTTGGTGAAGAAAAACCTCTGCTTAGGATGGCACGTAATGGTGTCACGGACCTATGACATGAGATATAATAAAAAATGGTTAAGAACTAGATTTTGACATTTTATTTTAAGCAATGGGCTCTTCAGTCCTGTTTAAAATGGGCAGTGTGATGATATGCTGTTATTCTTCTGCTATCTATTACATCTACTGTCATCTGTCCTACAGTACTGTAGTTCTACCTGATACAAAAGGTTACTTGTAACCAGATATGGGACTCAAGTCACCAGATTTGTGACTTATGACTTGCTTGAATAAAAGAAAGAAAATACTTGACTTTGATTTGCCTTTCCTGACCTCGAATTGAGTCATATGACTTGAGTCATGTGACTTGCTCAGTCACTGCAGTTGTGTTCATATCTATTACTATTATTAGCAAATAAATGATTAGATAATCATTGTTTTATTTTGCATGAGTGTTCCTGACCTGCAGCTTTTTCTGCAAACCTGGCAACCAGTATTACATACAAAGTAGGGAATTACAGATGAGTAAAGTAAGTAAGTAAGCAATTTAGATCTTAATGTCCACAAATTATGACAGAAAGAATATTCTACTACAAAGATTGATGTTAAAAAAGGAATGCACGATCAAGGAAATTGGGAAATGGCTACTATTGTATCTAAAAGTGCGAATCCGGTGGGCGAGTGTAATGGGCATTTGTAATGGCTCCCAAAAAGATATTCTGGTACTCTCTTAGGGACAGTTGTTCCTTCTGTCTCTCTCTCCTCAATGCAATCAGCATTGGACTCAGATTTCTTGATCATTCAATGCAACAACAAAAAAAACAACTTTATTATTCCCAAAGGGAAATGAAATGTTGCATTAACTAATTGGTTATTTTGTATGCAGGTGAGCTACTGAATCTATAGCCCAATTCTTCATGCCTCTTTAGTTTTACTGCCTTTGAAGGACCCACTATATTATAATATAGTGTACTTTTTCTAGATTTTTAATTTGCACAGTTGCTCTTCAATAAAAACATATCTTGGAAAATAAATAGTTTTTATATATCAAAAAATATAAAGCTAAAAGCTTCTCCTGTATTAAAATGGTATGTTTTTAGGTTTGTGACACCATATTGGACCACGCAAAACACATTTACTTTCACAAAGCCTCAAAAGGGCAGGATCTGTGTACAAAAAGTAAATCTGTAAATGAAATTATGCTTTGTTTTTATAAAGTGTTTTAAGAATGTTTTTTGTTCTTGGCATTCATATAAATATACTGGTGTGATGACTTAGTGTGATGACTCCACCAGCCACCGCTGACCTGAAGGCTGAAATTTTCTCCTCTGCCATGTCTTAGACTACTGATATCTACTAAAATTATATTCATTACTCTTTAAAGAGATAGAAATATAGAAAATGAAATGCATCCTCATATTTCATACAGAATTGCTTCACTTTCTTTTACCAACATCATTATCAACATGCAGAAAAAAAACAACCATTTTGGTTATTTAACATTATTAATTTGAACATGGCAAGTTACTGCTACCTTTTCAATTAGAATTCAATCTAATCGTGCTTCAAAATAAGGAAAGATAAAAAACATGTTCTACAACTTCTAAGATTTTATATTCATAACAAAAAACAGCCAATGAACATTACATTTTCTGCTTTCAAAATAGAAATCATACAGTGTGGAGTATCGGGTAATGGAGCAATATACAAACCTTTATTAAAGAATAACATTTTTAAACAACAGATGTGAACAATATAGTGCGCAAAATGGAAGTCACTTAATAAATCACATCAAATCAGAGAACTCATAAAGCAAGGTATAGAACAGGCTAAGATATTCTGTATAAAAATGACAAAAGCATGAGAAAACAGAAATCTACATTTCACCTTTGAATAATTTTAAAAGATATTAAATTAAAATAGTTTTAAAAATGAGACTTTTAAATATACAGTGATAAAGCCTATTATACACAAAGCATTTTGTCTTTTGTTATGCCTGCATAGTTATATATAAGGGAAATTATTTTTTAACAAAAAGTAAAACCATAACAGTTAATAAAGATTACTTTGGTCTAATTATCATTTTAATGTCAACAAAACTACAGAGAAAAAAATCAAAATAGTAAATTTAGCTCAGTGAATATTGCTGTAGAAAGTCAGGCTATTAGGTTCTCACATGGTGAAAAGCAGATGACCACTGAAGGTTGTGTGGTGATTTTGGTTATCATGAATTATCGAATTTGAACTCTGACGTAAAAACACAACATCTCCAACCTCTAACAGCAATGTCACTCCATTAGAGCATTTGGCTCCACCATTAGTCTGATGTTCATGAGCCATGAAAATATGTTCGCCATTCTTGACCAGCCAAGCACCTGTGGGATGTGATGGATGTCCAATACCAAATACATAGAACTCAAAGTGGTAGGTTCCTCTAACTGGCGCTGTGAAAAACCCTGGAATATATCATCATCATCATCATCATCATCATCATCATCATCATCATCATCATCATCATCATCATCATCATCATCATCATCATCATCATCATCATCATCATTATCATCATCATCATAAAATGATCTACCTGTGTTTGGGTTGTAGGCATTTCCGATATTTGCAACAACATGCCTGAAGACCAGAAGAGTGTTTGTGTTAAATGGACCAGAATTCCCTGAACCAGAGTCCAACAAAGACGCTGAGAAAGCCACTCGTTTCACTGCAAGACAGGAAATGAGTATAAGGATTCTGCTTGAATTTAATTACAGTCAGCTGCTTTGTTTTGTATAAACAAGAAAAATCCACTTAATCTAAAATAAATTTGTTATATTTTTACAACAGGAATACACAATCCAGTTTAGATTATATTTCGATAGATACAGCAGATGTGATTGGGGAATTTATATCTGAATTCACCAACCTTCTCCTTCTTTCTTCAGAGCCTCCACCTGGTTTTCAGTGACATTTGCTCTGGTTTTAACACCGATCAGTTCTTCTGTCTGAGCTGAAGTCACAAAAAAATAAAACAATCATTATCAAAGCATGATATTTATTCATCTTATAGAATTCTATTGACATTAGGCTAAAACTATGGCTGATTGTTATGGCTTATAAATATAATCTAAGATTTTTTCCCTCCAAATTTGAATAACCATTTTTTCTTATTTTGCCCTTATTTTAAAGGGCAAAATAACTCAAGCTGTGTAGCTTTTTTGTTTTAAGCATGTTTCACAAAAAACAAAGAAACCATGTAAGTTCTTAATGAAAAATATCTTTAAAATAGCCTTTTTTATTGACACTTCATGACATAAACATTGTTTGCTGAACAGACTGACACCTCAGTAGTACAGCATGGACGCATCAATAAGCCTATAGCCTGTTTTTCTTAATTTATTCTGGGTTTGAATTTCCTGCGCTGTTTGGCGGATGTGATGTCAAGCGCGTCAATGTTGAATGGGTTCCACCTAGCAAAAAATCAAAGCGTTATATTAAGATGGATGTTGTGGTTACTCAGAAGGAAGCGGTATCCCGCTTAACTTAAACACCAATGAAAGCTCCAGGTAAGGTGAAAAAAGTAAAGAATAAAAAAGGTTTTGTGTTTGGTAATAGGTGGCAGTATCATTAGAAAACTTTAATTTATCTTTAAAGTTAACAGGCAGTAGTATTACACAGTGGTGATTGGTTGATGAGGCGTCATGAAGAGTTTGGATTTTGACGGCTGGGTCCTTTAAAAATAATGGGCCCGAAATACTTTGGCTATAGAATAGATCAGGCCGAGCCTTCCCCATCTGTCAACACCCCTAACTCACGTCGGCTCTGTTGCCACGCTCCCTGCACAGTGCCTGTGCCATCTTTGTTATTTCTCTCCCAAAATCAAATCCCATGATGCTTTGCAAGGAGGCCTATTGCACAGCATTCTGGTATATGTATATTTGCTTGTCTAGTGACCATGGAAGCACACTACTTTTCAAGGTGCATTGTGGGAAATTTTGAATCCACTACTTTTTCATCCACTAGACATTCTCATTGAATGGCCTATGCTCTATACAGGGGTGATGGCGGACATTCGGACACAGCCAGCGTTTTGCTCTATGAGCCTGACATATGTGGTGAGGATTCGGTATAGCTGAACCCATCACTGTTACATAGTGAGCTAGTTTCTCAGTTACGAGAAGACATCTAAGAACAATAAGGAATTAATTGGTTTCAGTCTTAGATATGGAAGCCTAAAAATGAGTGTAAGGTAAGCCGTGTTCTTTCTTGTTAACTATATAGATATGATGCAAATGTATCCGTCATCATAGCAAATTTTGCTTCAGTATATATTTTCTGATATTAAAAAAAGCGCTGTCGACACAAAGTAATTTTTGATACCTTAAGAGAAGCTAAAGTTAATTTTAAATTCATGTTTTCATGTTGTTGACTTACTGTGATGGCTGCAATTACAGCCACCCAAATGCGGTAACATTTAATCACATCACACAATAGGCCAGCCAGTCTCATTACATTTATATAGGGATTTCTTTAAATTTAGGTTTTAATTTACAGAATATTTTTTGTAAGGAAAGGCATAACACTGTATTCTAGAATAAGTGTGCACATTTTAGTTTACACTGTTATGTTCTGCTTGATTTAAGCAGTTTGTTTTTGAGTCACCTCAGTACCGGCTGCTCCAGTCCTTCAGGAGAACAGAGATGGAGAAGGGGTGGAGCCAGCCTATTGAAACTGCAAATTGGTTTACACCACTACTCATCAGCAAGAGGGGGGAATGTGATTTTCCTCTGTTAGTTTCAGTTAGATTTTTGTGTGTTTCCCTCTTTGTATCTTCTACTGTATGTGGCCTCATCAGCCAGTATTTAAGTTTCCCCTTTGTCTCATGTAGGAGGTCTGTTTGTTTCAGTAGGTCTTTTTGTTAGCCTGAGTTGAATTGTGTTACTTTGACCTCTTTTATGGGCCCAACTTTGTAATTTGTTCTTTATTGACCCAAGTTTTTGGGTTGTTTTGGGTTCAATAAAAAGAATACTTTTTGAATCTAAACCTGTGCCTGAATTTCCTTTGACTGCTCGGACCATCACACTTACCTTGGTACTGCTGTTTTAGCTTGTCCAGCTCATCCCTCTGCAGTGCCAGTTCTCTCGTTTTTTCTAATGTGGTATAGTAACAAAAGTGAATACTATGTGAATACTAGCATGTCAACACAATTGTTCCATTTAGTTTTATTAAATAGCACCACATTCATAACACATGTCCAGTTCTTTTGTTTTTCGATCTGTGAAAAGTATTACTCCTGGCAGACATACATCTGTGTATACATTAGCTAATGGCAACATTAATGGGAAAATAGAAAAACATCCAGAAATCTTTTGCAAAAAGAATAAGTCACAGACTCTTAAAAAATTATTGATGTCATAGTGATCTTTCCATTCTGACCTCTATATTTTACACTATATTAGTTGTTGATATGTTAAGAACTTTGATTATGATGAAATGTGCATCTTGGAAATTATAGCATCTGTAATAAATCCCAATAATACAATGATGTGAGAATACTATAGGATATTTAACCTTCTCCTTCTCTCCTCAGAACCTCCACTTGATCTTCAACCCTGCTCAGATCTCCTGCTTGAGCTGAAAACATGGCAGCAAAATAACAAGTATTTTAGCCTCACTATTTTTTGTAAATAAAACGGTGATGGTATGTCATCATGTAAACATGGATTTTGGATTATCAAAATCTATTGTCAAAATATATTTTCTGATATCAAAAAAGTGATGTTGACACAATACCTTGGTATTGCTGTTTTAGCTTGTCCAGCTCATCCTTCTGCAGCGCCAGTTCTCTCGTTTTAGCTAGAGTGGTATAGTAAAGCAAGAACTGTAATGTTATTTCTATTTGAATACTAGCATATCAACATAATTGTTCCATTCAGTTTTAGCAAATAGCGCCAATATTCAACACATGACCAGTTCTTTTGTTTTCGATCTGTGATCAGGATACAAATACTCCTGGCAGACATACATCTGTGTATACATTAACTAATGGCAAAATTAATGGGAAAATAGAAAAACATCCAGAAATCTTTTGCAAAAATAATAAAGTCACAGATTCTTAGAAATGATTGATGTCATAGTGATTTTTCCATGCTGACCTCTATATTTTACAGTGTATTAGTTGCTGATATGTTAAGAACTTTGATTATGGGGAAATGTGCATCTTGGAAATTATAGGATTTTTAACCTTCTCCTTCTCTCTTCAGAACCTCCACTTGATCTTCAACACTGCTCACATCTCCTGCTTGAGCTGAAAATATGGCAGCAACATAACAAGTATTTTAGCATCATTATTTTTTGTGAATAAAACGGTGATGCTATGTCATCCTGTAAACATGGATTTTGGATTTACACACTCTATTATCAAAATTACCTAACATTCTGCAGTTGTCCCTGCAGATGTTTTCTCTAAACCATTCGATTATCGTACTACTCATTTAGACTTGGATCTATGTACAATATAATTTTTTCACAACAGCATTAATAATTGCAGCTGTTATATAATTACCTTGGTACAGTTGTTTCAGCTTGTCAAGTTCATCTTTCTGCAGCTCCAGTTCTCTTGTTTTAGCTAGTTGAGTAACAAAAACAAAATGAATAACAATAATGTTAGATTTATATCAGTACATATCAATCATTCATTCCAATAAACTACTGTAAAAGCTACACTGCTGTGATTCAACACACCTTCATAATCTCTCTGTAGGTACTTCATCTCTACCTGTAGTCCAGCCAATGAGGCGCTCATCTCTCTCAGCACAGTATTGATGTCCTGTGGAAATGGTTGTTGGGGTTCAGATAGATTTCCTGTATCTCCTACCTGTGATCTAGTTTGCCTTAAATTGGAAACAATTTCATTGTTGGTTGAAGCCTGAAGCTGAGCAGTGTAGAGAGAACAGAGCAGCAATGCCTGATAAAACATCATCTTTCCCATTCTAAGTTTTTAGTCTCTGTAGGTCAACTTTGTGCATTGCGTGGTGACCCATCCTTAAATATTCTTTGAATTAGCAGTGACTAATCATTAACTTTTTTGTTATTACAAACACGTGAAGACAATAAAATTTTAAGCCTTGACCTTTTCATGATAAAAACAGCAAACTCAATACTTGGTCATAAAATATGAAAATATCATGTTTGTTTGTACCTCTGGGTCTTTTATGTCATTTTCATATCCTGAGAAAAAAGGAAATCCACCTTAAGGGATATTCAAATTTCCTTCATATTTTCTCAACAGAATCAGTTTTAATTTATCTTATTTTCAGGGCATATTATTCTGCATGACAAGATCAAAAGGAAAATAGGAGCAATATTTTTGATAATAACATGATGAGGATTATATTTTTTATAAGTAAAGTTGTTCTCTTAGCATCAACAAATGAATGTCAGATAATAGGGATTCTGAAATATATTACTTTTCTGAAGTTAAACACTATGTTAATGACGCCTAGGCAGAACTTCAGTTGAATAACCTGAATCACCTATCCACATTCACTCAGACACTCATCCTTCTTTGTAGCAAGCCAAACAGCATTGGACTGCACCTCCTCAAAGTCTGATCTACATTCAGAGTCCAGCTTAAAAGATTTTCAAATCCACAACTCAGCCTGCTACACAACTAAGCATCTGCATATTTGGCTTGCTATGCCAGATTTGGACTCAGATGTCTTGATCATTCAGTGCAATTCAAAAATACTTTATTAATCCCAAAGGGAAATGAAATGTTGCATTAACTAATAGGTCATTTTGTATCCATATGAGCTATTGAATCTATAGCCCAACTCTTCCAGCCTCTTTATTTCTAAGGGCTAATTTAGCAGGAATGTGTTTTTTCTTTATAAAAGATCGGTTGACGGTGGTGAGCTGATGTGGTTGGTTGCTGAAGATCAGAGAGCATTTTCAAGAATAATATCAAATTTATCTTATTACTGCTGCAGCCATTGCATTGCTGTCCTGTTTTGTTTTAATTTAGCTGAATGAACAAATGCAAATGTGGCCAGATTTAATAGGTCACTGGGGTGATACTGTGAAGATGATTTGAGTAAGTGTTGACTCAGCCTCCGGCTTTCAGAAAATTCAATGTTGCAGATGCAGGAACTGTGACACATTGAATTTAAACTAATATAAGCATGCACAAAAAGGAAATTATAGGCTTTCATTTTAGAATAGCAAATGGTGAAAATAAAACAGTTGGGGAGTGTGCTTAGTGGTCAGTGCAGTGCACTTGTGCTCTGAGAAGGTTTCAAGAAGCCGATTCGATCCCCACAGCCTCCACTCTGGGTCCCTGAGTAAGACCCTTGACCCCACACTGCTCCCCGGGAGCCGCACAGTGGCAGCCCAATGCTCCTCAAGGGAATTGGTTAAATGCAGAAGTAAACCTCTCCAATGTGAGATTGATAAAGTTCAGTTATTATTATTAATATGGTAAAGTATTTGAACACGTTAAAGGGAAAATTTCTAAAAAGGTTTATTTTGTAAAGGGTGATTAGTCCTCAGAAGAGACCAAAAGCGTATTTTCCTCATGTCTTTACCTGAACTTACAATGAATAAAGAGATGAGTCATATAGAGCATTTTCCCACTGTGCTTCCTCAATAACAGTAGGATAAACACAAAGTTCTTCTTTATTGTGCTTCTGATAAACCAACCCTTACCTGATATCACCATCAGGCATGTGATAACTTTTGGTAAGATAGTATTTTCTTAATCTGCTTCCTTAAACAGTAACACGTGAGAAAAACGTATTACCCCTAAAGGTTGACTGCTCTTTAAAGTCATCTAGTAGCAGACCTTTTTTTGTTCCGATCAGTCTCTTGATCGAAACTGGGGGGATCAAATTACTTGTAAATTGTGCAACATCAAATTTGGTTTTATTTTTAAAGCTTTTATATTCAATAACATTGGTGCAGTCCATGACAAGAGTATTTTTAAAATTGGAAATACAACTTTATTGTGGACAATGAAATCCAGAATTGTAGTCTTAAGGTGATATCTAAAATTCACATGTAGTTAAAAAATGATAACTCATAACAGTTCAATTTCAATTCATTTAAATTCAGTTTATTTAAATAGCATCAATTCACAACACATAGCATCTGAAGACACTATGAAGGAACAATTCAACCAGTGGCAGCTGGCCAATAGAGGGCCGCCCCACCCACCCAATTGACCTTGATTAAGACATAAATAAACAAATAAAAACCTGAGTGGACACGGGGAAATACCTAAAACCTTGAGTACAGTGGGTCCTCAGGGCTGAGTCTGAAAACCATTGCCCTAGTCGAAAAAAAATACATATTGTTTGTGGATGATTTTGGGTGAAGTAATTGAGGTATTACCGTATTTTCACGACTATAAGGCGCACTTAAACGTCTTTTTTTTCCCTCAAAATGTGCGGTGCGCCCTATGGTGCGGTGCGCCCTATGTGTGTTGTAACTGCGACTTTTGAGACCACCTCATTGAGGAGATGATGAAAGAGTGGCTGAATGTAAGGAGACCAGGTGTTTTTTTTCCACTCCTCACCATCGCTGTTAATATGTAACTCCATGCGTGCCCATCTCACAGCTGATGTGAAAAACATGGGGAAACAAATTAACCCTGTGCTCGCTGTTCAACCGCTCGACATCGGTGTGAACCGGACCCAGCAGGTGCAGCAGAAGCAGCGAGTTTACATGCAAAGTCAATGGTTGACGGACGCGCGTATAGGTGCAGCAAAAGGTCCCGCAGCGCGTTTTGAGCAGCAGGTGCAGCACGTCGGGAGCGTTTAAGCATCTGACGCACCGCCAACGCGCTGCTGCTGCTCGAGATGGAAAAATTGAAGTTTAGCTGCTGGAAGCGCCGCATCAACCAATCAGAGAAGCTGATCTGGGAGCTGACAGCGAGACAGACACAGCGCTCTGATGACATAATGATATTAAATGAAAAAGGCTGGATGGATGAGGAGATGATGAAAGCGTGGCTGAGGGAGGTGTATGTGAGGAGAACAGGTGTTTTTTTCCACGCATCACCATCGCTGCGTGCCCATCTCACAGCCGATGTGAAAAAAAAGGTGAATCAAATGAACGCTGTGCTCGCCGTTATCCCAGGGGGTCTGACAAAGGAACTTCAACCGCTCGACATCGGTGTGAAGCGGCCGTTCAAAGTAAGGCTGCGAGCTGCGTGGGAGCGATGGATGACAGACGGAGACCACAGTTTCAGGATAAGTGGAAGGCAGCGCCGGGCAAGTTACGCCACCGTTTGCGGATGGATTGTAGATGCTTGGACTAACGTGTCTGCTGGCTCTGTTGTTCAAGCTTTTGCAAAAGCCGGCATTATTTCTGAGGAGCCGCGCTACACGGAAAGTGACTGACAGCGAAGAAGGGGAAATTGGCATGTCTGATTTAGCGCAGCTGTTTTATTCAGAAACAGAGGATGATGACTTTGATGGGTTTGATTAATACTTTGTAATAAATACATGAATAAAGCACAATCATACTCAGTTTTGCTCCCGCTCTATTTTTCTACCTGAAAACTTAATTCAACAGCAGCCTCAGGGCCGGGTCTCCTCCTCTTCACCGCGGTGGCTGGCAGGTGTTTTTTCATCTAAATAATCTAAATCTTGCAGCTATATTTGCTGTGATCAGTGGGAATAAAGTAGTTTTAATATGTTTTTAAGTGAGAAAGTCCACCTGAAAACTTAATAATTGCAGTCAGTTCATCCAGATTATCTATTTCTGTCGGAGGCGCTCAGACCCCCACATACCAGCGGTGCACCGACAGTAGAAATCCTATCATCAGCAGCCTCTAGGCTGGGCAGCGGTGGCTG